AGAGGAAGGGAAAGGGACAGAGAGTCAGAAACATCGATGAGAGAGAAGCATCGATCAGCTGCCTCCTGCACACCCCCCACTGGGGATGTGCCCACAACCAAGGCACATGCCCCTGACCGGAACTGAACCCAGGACCCTCTAGTCCCCAGGCCGACGCTCCATCCAGTGAGCCAAACTGGCCAGGGCAGGGGGATCATGGTTTTGAAGTGTGAAGTCTTCAGGTAGTTCGGGCTATCTCTGGGTCCGTCATGACTCCAAACCCTACAGGATGCCTCCTGCTGGATGGGATGCTTCAGAGGTGCTGAGAGCCCACCAGAGCCTGGGACCTTGGCTATGTCTCCCTAAAGTCCATCTGTTTAAGGCACAGACCCTGACACCTGTGCCTTTCGGGGTCAGTTAGGGGCACTAGACACAGAGGGAACCAAAAAGAGTTCAGGCCTCTCCTCTTGCCTCCTGAGGAGGGAGGAGTGAGTACCAGGCATGCCCTCTGAGCCCTCAGCCAGTGAACGTACTTCTCATGCCCATCCCACCCGCTCCTCACCTGGTATCTGTCTGAGTGGTGCAGGTCATCGGTGGCAGAGGAGTGTGGGGATGCTGTCGGAGACTCGCCTTCTCTCTTGATGGACGCAGACAACAGGAGGGACTGGAAGGAGAAAAAGGACACGTGGCCTCAGCGGAATGAGACCTGCAGTCAGGCCCCTAGTTTCTACTCCTATGGAGCTTTGGGAGGGAGGCAGCGCGGAGGGTGGAGGGATAGAGGGACCACTGGCGATTCTGAAGGCATGTGGCCAGGCCCTGGGAGTGTGGTTGTGGGAAAGGATGGGTGGAGACCCCCCTGAGAGGGCCCAAATCTCCCAGATCCCAGCTAATATCTACTCCGGGGGGAAGACTCCCAGCCTATTCACAGAGGCGATACAGGCTGTGTTTTCTCTTAGTGAGCAGAGACTCTGGGACCCCCCTGAAGGGTTGGGGGTAAAGCCACATACTGGCCACCCTGCCGGCCCCTAATACAGGCTGATGGCAGCCCCGCTATGGAGACAGTAAATTAAATAGTATGTATGAGTTTCTTGCGGGCAGCTAGGGATGTACGCTGGGTCCATTTATCCCCGCGCTGCGACGATGACCCTAGCAAAACCCCCAGCAAAACTAATCCCCCCATGTCAATCCTACACGGCCTCTTCTACATACGCCTGCAGTTTAGATTAATAAACTGTCCGCTTTAAAATGTGTGCGAGCATCACAATTCTAAATACCACGTGGCACGTTCAGCCTGCTCTTGTTGGTTCTTGCCAAGGCCTGTTCAGCTGCAAAGTGGGGGCCTGGAGGCCTGAAAGCAATCCATACTTTCTCCCCCCACCTTCTCCAGCCTGTGCAGCTCCAAGCCAGCAGCATACAATTCCCTAGGAGGCCTCCCCAGCCTAGAAAACCATGCCAAATCGCCAGTGACAGCCCAAAGAAAGCAATTTGGGAAAGATGGAGCAGCCATTTATCCTTCATCTCCGACTGAGCCGTAGGATGTGACCCGCATGCCGTGGCCATGCTGCACATCCTCAGGCAAGGGCCCCGGGAAGGGAGGGGGCAGCTGCTGGCTGGCAGGGCTCCCTGACGCGGCCTCATCCCAAGAGCTGCAGCAGGGAGGCTGGGAAGGGCCTGGGGTGGGATTCCCTGCTTTGGGAGCCCCTTCTTCACCCACCCCTGGCCCAGGTGGAGGCCTAGTAGGGGACCTGGTCCAGAGCTCAGAAAAGAGGTGGGCTTTCGGGCTTTCGGCAGTGCCCTTCCCCTGCTCTGTAGGAGGAGGATGCTGAGGAGGGGAAATAATGTAGCCTTGCCCCCCACTGTCAGAAAGCTCAGGCTGTGTCTCCCCCCACCCCTCTTCCTCTTTAGGTTAGAAGTCCTGAGAGGCCTCAGCATTACACCTGGGGCAAGTGGAATAAAAAAAGGTCACTGGCGCTTTTTAAACATGGACCAAAAAGCAGTAAAATGTGCTTTGAAAAAAAAAAAAATCCCGGCATTAAATCATGACTTTTTGCCTGGCTCTTCGCCTCATTAAAAGTGGCCTTTTGGAAGGTAAAATTATCATTGTAAGCGATAAGATCTTTAAGAAAATAATTCACGGCTTCTTCACCCTTTAATATGATAGCCGCCACCGGCTAATTTTTTTCTTAATGGCAACGAGGCCATCAATCTTGTCGAAGGCCCCCTCGCCCTCTCCTCCTCCTCCTCCCTCCCTCCTTGTCCCTGTCTTCTCAGTCTCTTGCTTGAACCTTCTACCTCGTGCCTCTTCCGTCCATGACCTGCTTCCCTAAAGCCTCAGTCAAGGCAGAGGACAGACCCTGAAATGTCAGCTTTGGGGGTGGAGCGTATGTCTGGAAGGGGCTGAGCAATGGCCGTTGTCTGGAGTGTGGGCAGCTGCAGGAATCTTCCCCTCCTGGCAGTGGATTCTGACCTGGGAATGTGTGCATTGTGAGCATGGGGACTAGGTGTCTGTCCTTAGCACACCAGCCTTCCTGGGGTCCCCGTCTCAGTCCCGCCAGCCACGCTCAGATATCAGGTGTCAGTGGTTGTAATGGCCGAACTGGCAGCTTGTCCACGACCAACCTGCTTCCGTAACCACGACTACTGAAGGCTTCGAGCGGGGCCAGGCTCAGAGAGTGTGGCTCCCCACCCCCATGACCTACAGCTGCCGGTCACCCCTGCCTCTTCTCGCAGGGCTGGGAGGGCTTTGCTTCCCGGGCCAGGGCCTGCCCCGAGCCTAGGCTGGACCAGCTTGCTGTGCGTTGGGTGGTTCCCCCGAATGAAGGTGCGAAGTCCATTCCCACCCTTTATAAGGCCTGCAGGGGAGTGGGGACCACCCCTGGAGGTAATATTGATCCTTTCCCCAAAACGGCCCTCTCAGAGGTCACCAGGGCCTTTAAGCAATCTAAACACAACAATCTCCTTCTCCAGCTTCTCTGACTGCTGACCACACCAGAGGTTTTGGAGCTTTTCCCCCTTAGGATTCTGGGATACCCTGTTCTTCTGTGCCCCTTCTAACTCATGACTATTTCTCTTCTGTCCCTTTCCTGTCTCCCGTACCTTATCTTTTTTAAAAATGTTTTTAAAAATTGATTTTAGAGAGAGGATGGGAGAGAGAGAGAGAGAGAGAAAGAGAAACATTGATGTGAGAGAGAACTATCAATTAGTTGCCTCCAGCACAGGATCAAACCCTCAACCTGGGCATGTGCCCCCACTAGGAATCGAACCTGCCAGCTTTTGGTGTCCAGGACGACAGTCCAACCGACTAAGCCACACTGGCCAGGGCTGCTATACATTATCTTGACCCCCAATGCAGGAGCCCCCAGATTCTCTTCTTGGCTTTTGCTCTAATCTCTCCATACACCCTCCCTCATTGCTTTCACCCATTCCCAAAGCTTTGACACTCACTCCTCACTCCCTATACAAAGGACTAGGGATTCCTGCCTTTCCTGTCATATGAGAACTTAAGAGAAATGATGCTGAGGTGTGAGGAAGGAGACACTCACTGAGCGAGGGTTCAGTCTTCCTCCCCAGGTCCCCACTCCCTCAAAAGCATCCCCTTTGAGGAAGCAGTACCATCTGCCTCTGTGGCCACCTATGCGGAGCTCTTGGTACAAGTCAGGTCATTGTGCTGAGGCCTCTTTGGCCCCTCCTTTGAGCTGGCTACTTGTCCTTCACTTTTCCTTTCTCCATCTGATGCTTTCAAACTTCTCTCCCATAGTGTCTGTTCAGAGGGGCAGACTGTCTCCCCAGATGAGTCCAGCATCCTCTCTGGCTTCCTGTTGCCCTCAGGACAAAGTTCTCTCTCTCTCTCTCTCTCTCTCTCTCTCTCTCTCTCTCTCATCTGGCTTCTAAGGCCCTGTGCCATCTGTCTTGAGCTGCACTTCTATATTTCCCTTTACTTGCTACAGTTCACCTTCCTCCTTTGAGTCTCCCCAGCTTTAGAGTCTGGATTCCCCACACCCACAGGCCATTTTTGGCTTTAACCCCTGTCCTGACTGGAATAGGAGGAAGTCAGATGAGCATACCCTGGCTCACACTCAGACGACACACACATACACTCAAGCGCACAGGGCAGCCCTAGGCCTCGGGCCGACGCTGAAACTCTAGAGACAGTTGGGGTTACAGGAAGAGCTCCTTTTATCCTCAAGTGGAACCAGTTCTGGGTGGGCCTAGGTTAGGATGGGCAGGAGGAAAACACACAGTTGGCCACCTACCTTGGGAGTACCTGGAGCCATGGCATCCTTCAGAAGGGAATTCTTGCTGCCAAGAAAGAAGAGAACAGGGTGACCATTCCACATGCTGCCCAGGGCATGCGAGAGTAGCATAGCAAGAAGACCCCAAAAAGAGAAGGCATAGCCAGCCTCGCCCAGCCCATTTCGGCCAAGCTCCACTCTGCCTAGCTAAGTGTCCACCAGGGGCTAAGCACCAGAGCGGGCTCCTGGGAAGCGGGTATAGACACTAGACATGGTAGGCTCCCCGGTGGATCTGAGGAAAGAGGCTTTACCTAACTCCTGGTATCGGCCCTGAAGATTCCGCCTGTCCTGGATACCCCCTTTCCTCCACCCCCTGTCCCCAGCCTGCTCTTAGCTCCTCGGGGACTGGGGTGATGGAGCTGACATGGCTCTTGTCAATTCTCCCTCCAACACGCTGCAAACTGCGTTAGGCCAGGAATGATCTCCCCCTGATTCAATTTGTCAGCCCCAGGCCCTCCGGCATCGGGCGCGGCAGGCGGGCGGGAGCTGGGCCCTGAAATATGGTGGGTGGCTTGGAGCGGCGGGGGCGGGGGCAGGAGGTGATGGATGGGCTGTGGGGGAGGCGAGGACTGTGTTTAATAACAAAATTGGTATGCAAGGCCACATCCCGCGCTAAGCATGAGTGATCCAGAGCCACAAAGTATTACAAATCCCTGCTAAACAGATGCTGACAATGGAACAAGACGTATCAAATCAGATCCACTTCAGAAACATTAATATCCCTGTTCCTGTCCCTCCCTGCCTGCTGCCCCCCGCTATGCTCACCACATCTGTGCTCACACATTCATGCACGTGCACTCACTCAACCCCCTTCCCTCCCCTCCCCCCCCACAAATATATGCACACAGAGGTGCTGGCTGATACACGCACGGAGGCAGACACAGCCCGTTCACACAGGGTCCCCGCACAGACACGTGTACAAGCTGTCCAGGTAAAACATACCCACAGACACACAAAGACACACACCCAAGGCAGAGCACGTGGGGGCAGATACAGACTCACAGGGTGTATATACAGGGAGCAGCCTCAGGGTGAGACATGGACACACCCAACACACAGGCAAAGGGATAGGCAGATGCAGAAAAAAGTAGTAGTTCTCCACCAGGGCCATTTACCCCCAGGGGACATCTGGCAAGGTCTGGAGACATTTTTGATTGTTATCACCTGGGGTGGGGAGTTTGCTATTGGCATTTAGTGGGTAGACAACATTAACCATCCTATAGTGTATGGGGTAGCCTCTCGCAATAAAGAATTATTCAGCCCAAAATGCCAATAGTGCCGAGATTGAGAAACGCTGGTATAAAGGCAGATATACTCATATCCATTGTCTCTCTATCATGCTCTCAACAGTTACGTAGGTACGTGTGGTCACACCCGGTGCTCAGACAAGCAAACAGATGCACAGGCACAGAGTCCTATTCCCAGAGACATGTCCATAAAGACACACCACAGTCACCCTGCCTGGATGGAGAGCTGCTCCCTATCCACAGCCACATAAATGCATGCTTAGATACAGAACCAACACACCCTCAGACACTCAGGCACCCACAACGGCAGACACACGGACACACGCCCACGCAGACACACAGACACACGCCCACGCAGATACGTATGTGGCAGTGCAGGGGCCCCCAGGCTCGGCAGCGGGCGAGCCTAAGGTCTGAGTGTAAAACAGGGCTGTCTGCCTGTCTCATCACACAGGGGGAGCATCACAGACCGGGGAGGACAGGCAGACAGACCAGGTTCCATTCAATTACACTTTGCTCATAAATGTCCTTGTATTACTGCTCCATGCCTGGCCCTGATCTCGGTACTGGGGATCCAGAGAAGAAACTGGGCTGCCTTTGAGGAGCAAGTAGCTCGTGAGTTCCTGACTGTCATCATTCCCTCAGTCAACAAGAACTGACATCTCCATTGCGCTGGGCACTGTGCCTGGCCCTGCAGATACAGATGTGAGGCAGCCGCTGTATAACGTTGTTCTCACCGGACCCCTGAACTGAGGTCGGAGTATTACTACCTGAGCAGGATCAGGTTGGAACAGAAAAGGAAGAAATGGACAATTACGGTGCCCCCACCACATGCGGCAGGCCTGCGCTAGGTACGTCATATGTGTTATCTTACCCTTCACAGAAATTTTTCAAAGTTGACAAACAGGGACACCTCTCTGCTCACACAACCCGGATTTGCGTTCATGTCTGATGGATCCCAAAGTGCTGCTTTCCACCGCCCTCCCAGCCTCCCTAACCATACCCAGGGGTTAGGATGAGATCTTTTTCTCTCTGGGCTTTAGAGAGGGTTCTGCTGACTCTGGGCTCTACTTTACTCTGTTGATGAATAGAAATGGGGACATTGAGGGTCCAAATGTCCAGTCTCCCTGGACCTTTTCCTGGCGATTCTCTTCCCTTTCCCTCGTTTAGACTGGTACGACCCCAGACTTCTTCCCTCTCTGAGCCTGCACCCGCCCTACCTTTCCTCTAACTACCTGATCACCTCCAGATGTGCCTGGTCCCCTGGAGACAGGAGTCTGGCGAAGGGCCCGCCTTGGCGAGGAAAGGTCTGAGCCCCAGAGCTGCAGGCAGCCCGCCTCCCGCCCAGCCCATCCACTCAGCTCTGCCTTCCGTCCCTCCCTGTTTCCACAGACCGCCCCCAACGATTTCCTCCCTTCCTCAGTCACTCGCTGCCTAGTGATCCATGGGTTTTAAATTATAACTGGGACCCAGGAAACGCGTTCCTAAGTACAATATTCATGGGCTGGGCTGACACTTTTAATTAAGGTGATTTACACTGAATTATCCTTGGAAATAAAGAAATGGTGCACTGCCCGGGAATAAACCATCATCACCAGCCGCCTTTGTAAGTTACACTTCGTTTTAATCTATTTGGGGAATTGTTTATCTAGTTCATTACCCAACCAAACACCGAGGCCGGCCTTAAATAAGGCTTAAGTGGGGGTGGGGGCACTGCCAGCTCCACACCCCGCCTCTCCTCCACGCTCCCCAGCCTCCCTCTGGGTCCTTCCAGCCCCTTTAAAGCACTGACCAGACAGCCAGCTTCTCAGTCTAGAGGCCAGAACTCGGAGTGGCTCGGGAAGCCTCCCAGAAGAGGTGTCTGAGCTCAGGCCCAGCCAAGCCAAGCCTCCCTTTCAGGTTCCTGTAATCTCTCCACGTCCAAGGCCTTTTCCTCTGGGTGGGAACTCCTGCCTGAGGGCCACAGAGGAGTCTGGGCAACCCTTCCTCCCACCGGCCCTTCCATCTCCAGCTCCCATCTGTGTTCCTGCCTGTCTGCCAGTACACATCCAGTCTCCACCACCACAGCTTGGCTTAGCCTGCCAGAGCCCTGCCTACCATCTCCTTCCCTCAGACATTGCTTCTCTGCCATCAGTACCCTTCCTGCCACCCAAGTCAGAAAGCTCTTCCTAGTAAGTACCCACGGAGTCATCAGCTAAGTTCTCTTGCTTCTTCCTCCACCACTCTCTCATCATTCCCTCTTCCCACTGTCCTTGTGCTAGGCCAGCCTCATCATCTGTCCCCTGGACCAGCCCAACCTCCTCACTTGCCTCCCTGCTTCTCCTTCAACTCACACCCACACTGGCCTCCAGAGTGATTCTGCTACAGCTCAGCACCCTCATCAGCTTCTCCGGGCTCACCAGTGTTCTACTTCCCCATTACCTCTAGGACAACCCTCCAGCATCAAAGGCCCTCCACTATCGGTCCTCAGTTGAATGTTGCCTTCCTTGTTCTAACTAGCCGATCCTGGGGTCTAATGGAACCCTGCACAGGACTGGGAGGGGAAAGAGCGAGGATGGGGCGAGGGAGGGTGTGTGGACATCGCCTCTGAGCTGGAATGTAAAAGGACTTTGAAGAGTGTAAGTCTTTGCCGTCGGAGGTCTGACTTTTCTTCCTGTAGGTGTCCACCTGCCCGTGTGCCTGTGGGAAGTGGTTCTCTCGGGTGTGTGAGCTCATCATGGGTGTTGGAATGGGTGTGTGTGTGTGCCTGTGCATCATGTATATGTTTGAGTCTGTGAAAAGCGGCCAGCCCTAGTTTGGGAGCTGGAAGGTTCCGCTTCTCTGTGGGGGCCCTGGGGGAGATCTGAAGTAGCAGCTGCTGGGGTGAGGGGACACAGGGAAGGAGAGGGCACAACACCAGGCCCCCCTGAAGGGCTCCTTGGGGAACAACCATGTGGATGGAGGGACAGCCCCTCCTGGGTGAGGCAGAGGCAGAAGTGGGCTGAGGGAGCAAAGGGAGGGCAAAGGAGGCAAAGGCAGGGTAAGAGAGGAAAGGGAATGGGTGGAGAGAAGAGGAAAGAAGGAAGGGGAGCAGAGAGGGGAAGGGATCATGCAGAAGAGGGGAAGTGCTGGGGAGGAAGCCTCCAGCCTTGGGCCATGGATGGGGGAATGCCCTCATTGGGCTCTACCCGCCTGCAGGACTCAGTTTCCCCATCTGTGAAATGGCTGGTAAGAGGCCACTCTCAGCGCAGGGAGCTGAGGGCCGCTAGAGGAGGAGCGGGAACCGGGTGCCACATCTTTTTCCAGCCTCTGCTCTCCTCCTGCCTCGCAGAGAGCAGGCAGGGGCGGGGCAAGGGCAGCTAAGGCTGGGCCCTCCCCGCTAGCCCGCAGGGAGCTGACACGCTCCTAGGGAATTTATCACGCACCCAATTACAATGTTAATTGGCAAGTTCCTGAAATCAATTAATTCGCAAATTTTTTCCAATTAAAAATCCAGATAAATCACGAGGGCGGTGGCGGCGGCCGGTCCAGC